AAAAAAAAACAAAAAGTATATTACTACCATATATTGCTAAATTTTTGTTAAATTTATGCTAAAAGTATGTAATATTATAACAATAAACTGCGGTGCGATACCTTACAGCAATAAAACCACAACAGAAATAATACCAAAAGCCTCGCCGAAGGAGTAGAAAATTTGAGAAAAACAAGTCAAAATATGAATTCTGCTAGTTCGAACCAAACCTATTCCCACAGATATGGATAGATGCAGCATGTGTCAAAAATTGTATGAAGCCGAGCGTGCCANTGAGACATAAAAATGCCGGTAGAGCCCTTGAGACATTATTTTATATTTTTTTAATTATTTTTACGGTAATCTACATCTTATGACGCAACTTTTGAGGGGTCTTGTGTAGCGAAAATATAAAAAAAGACATTTCGGGACACCCTAATGTAGAGGCTCCTTAAGAGCAAAATGACGATTTGTAAGAACTATTTATTAGTCCAAACAAATAAAGAAATTTTGACTTTGACTTTGACTTTGAACCTAATTTTTATTGTTATTATTTATCCGAGATTTATTTTGGGATAAAATCATAAAAGATTCTATTGTTGGATTGTGTTGTGAACTTGTGAATGTCTTTGCCTCATTCAAATCGAAAGGCATAAAAAAAGTTTGTAACTAACTAAAAAAAAAATGCAGCGAACAGAAAAAAAAAGGCTTTTTGTGATGTGATTTGAGTTTACCAAGTTAAAATTAATTTTAGCTTAGATAATTAAAATATTTAATATGTGTAATCATTATCTGTTTACAAAATTGCGATGATTGGTACTGTTCAATCAAGATAAATAAATTGTGACCTTGAAAAAAGCAGCTGTCAACCTAACCAAGACTACTTCACAAAAGATGTAATAAACACAAAACTTGTTGATAATTTACCATCATGAGAAACGTGGATTCTCATCTCCTGGATGGGAAAATGGACGAGACTGTAACTCACTACATAACATCGCACCAGACAGGCGAGGCAAGTGTTCTGTAACTTTCGTTCTTCTTACGTATTCCGAATAGCAGATGATGCGGAAAATGTTCCTAATAATTAATAAATTAATTATTTTAATTAATTATCTTGCATGCGAATCCATAAAATATCATCTCTATTTTGTATTTTTTGTTGGTTATCCATTTAAAAAATTATATTACAATAATTAATAAATAATTAATGATAAAAATAATATTGTCTGGTTATAGTAGAAGCTATGTTTTTTGTTATATTAGTTACATTGTTTTATATTTCGAACAGATTTATAGTTACTGTCATATTTGGTACAATACATTAACTAAAATATGATTTACATGTTATCTTACTATTTTGGCACTTCAATAATTGAGAATGTTACTAGGTATGCAAAATCACTTGAAACCTATGTTACAGTTAAGCTTTTACATTTACAAATACATTAGTTTTTATTTCATTCAAAAATACCCAGTAGTTATGATTTTATAGGCATTCAAAGTTCGCTTAAATATTGAGTCCCGCCGGCGGTCACGTGACCCCGTGTGACGTACATTCACAGCGTCCGCTCACTAGAAAACGGATATAAACATACTTAAATATTTTTTTTTTGTAAATACAAACTTATTATACATATTAACACCCAGACCCATCACAGAAATTAAAATTGAACCAAACCCAAACTTGATGCGATTGTGTCGTTTTATTGCGAATTACCTTCCAGCTCCATCATTAGACCCCGATTACTATATAGAATTAAAATACTCATCAATACAAAACGAACGAGCCCAAACTCGATGCATTTAAGTCGTTTTATTATAGAGTTCCTATGGCCACCTTCCAGCTCCATCATCAGATCAGCTCCATGTCATCATAATATTGCATGGTCATCCAAATCACATGTGTTTGCGAAATTTCAGCTTAATCGGTTGCCTGGAAGTGGGTCTTAATTCAGTTTGCAAGATTCCACCCATACAAATATGAGCCAGTCGTTGTAATATGACGTCACGCGCATAAAATGGCGGGCCGGCCGCCGCCCGCACTTTTAAAATTCAATATCTTGGAAACTAATTAACGTATCGAAATAATTCTTTCACGTGTATTTTTTATTTTTAACAGAGAATACAGTAAGCTAAAAAACAAAATTAGTGAACATTCTTCATTGTAATTTTATTAAATTAAAATTCCTGGAAATAATGTTTATCACAAAACCTAACTTATTTTCTTGCAGACAAATCCAAACCTGTAGTTTTATACATAAATTAATTATTGTGTGTGAAACATATTGTATAATAATAATAATAGTTTGCTTCACAGTCGGTGCACGTGGACAGCAATGGCTTACCGCTCAATGTCCAGGAGGACGAAGGGGGTCGTGTCGTCACCGTCATGCACCCGCAGAGCTACTCACACTCTCATTTGTGCCGGTAATTACATTATTTCTTTGATTGTCTCCTAAGTACTCTCCATACCTACTTATTAATTTACCTAAAGAAATAACAAAGTTATCCAAAACTATCCAAAGGAATGATAAAAAGTGCTTAGTAGATTTGTATGTTCAATAAGTTTTATTTATTTATTTCGAAGCTTAAGCCTATTTTTACAGAAATCCAATACAATAGACAAGCGAAATATGACAGGAACGTAACAATAGTAATATAAGTAAATTAAATGAAAATATACAAATAAACCTAAGAATAACACAAATTAAAAAGCGTCATTTTTGTGAATTCACCCAGAGTACAATGAAACAAGTCAATCCGTTCAGCTAGTTTATTAAGTTGTAAGTTGCCTTGTAGTTCACATTATTTCCTTAATAATTAGTGGTGGCCACTATCTTACACTGGCTACTACTGGCACTTTCCTGTTGCCTAACCAATCCTAAAGAAAGACATTATTCTTTGTTAAAATATTAAAAATGTGGTTACATTTTGTACTTCTTTCCTACATAAAAACTGTTTCTATATCATTTTTGTTCAAATATTCTGTGGGGCGTAACTCCTACATTAAAGAATGCTAGGGTAAGGATGCTATGCAATGAGGATGTGAGTGATGCTGAAGGGTCGGGAGAGAGGTGGAATGATAAAAAAAAAAAAAAAAAAATGATAACGACCAGTTTGAGTGACTGTTAAAAATACACTGGTTTATTGCTATAACGTATTCAATGCGATTGACGCTAATTTGGGTCAACCGCGCAAACGCTTACTTAGCAATAACTTATTAGCTATATGAAAAGTGGATACGTTTGTACGATAGCTCGTATGTATTCTGTTTTATATCAGTTGTCTCATACCCATGGTTCAAAGCATAACAAGGCACAATGTAAAATGCTCTTGGATATTTATTTACTTGCCTGTTGGACAGGGGGCATTTTTGTTCAAATATTCTGTTTATATCAGTTGTCTCAAAACCATGGTTCAAAGCATAACAAGGCACAATGTAAAATGCTCTTGGATATTTATTTACTTGCCTGTTAGACAGGGGGCATTTTTGTTCAAATATTTTGTTTATATCAGTTGTCTCATACCCATGGTTCAAAGCATAACAAGGCACAATGTAAAATGCTCTTGGATATTTATTTACTTGCGTGTTGGACAGGGGGCATTTTTGTTCAAATGTTTTGTTTTATATCAGTTGTCTGATACCCATAGTACAAGCATAGGATAGTAGTAGCACAATGTAAAATGCTTGTGGGTGGACGTCTCACGGTGTGTTTTCCGGTGCATGGCCTCCACTCACGCTCACTACCAACCAGGCTGAAAATAATTATGATCAATAGCCTGTTATCGGTCCATGTATATTTATTTACTTGCCTGTTGGACAGGGGGGTGTCAGTGGGCGAGCCGGTGGGCGAGGGCCAGTGGGGCGAGGAGCTACTGGACACGGACACGCGGCTTGCGGCGTTCGTGGCGCACTTGCACCACCCACACGCGCCGCACCACAAGCACGCCTCCGTGAGTGTTGTGATAATCTAATACTTGCAGCGTACGAGGAATACAGAGCGCTAGAAACAAAAGCATCTCGCGCGAAACTTATCGGTCATTGTGGCTTGATGACCCAAATTTCATGATGGTCCAGCGTTCTTACCTTCATAGGTGAGAACGCTCGAAAGTTTCAGCTTTAATAAAATAACGAAGATCTGGCATTCATTGATTTTTGCTCCAAATGTGATTATGTTGCTTCAAAACTCCAAAATGTTATTCCAAACTGTCGCATAACATTCCATTACATTTCTGAGTGACGTAAACTGATTCTGCTTGTGACCACCGCTGTATCAACACAGTTGAATCTCAAGCTTTAAGGGACCTCCCACACTAGATTAGCGTCTTTCGAGCGTCGTTGTCTTGCCAGCACAGCGCTCTGCGTCGACGAGGTCCTCTAAAAAGTACTAGTGTACTAAAATGATGTCGCAGTCTTAAATTTTTCATTGGTATAATAAAGTATGTAATTTTAGATTTTTTTTATTTTTCTCAGGTACAACCCGGTAGAGATGTGGACACGTCGGTTATATTGGATACTCCAATGAGGCTGTTCAATGGACAGAGCTTGGTAAGTTATTTATTAAATTATCTAACTGATGAAATAGAATACGCCATATCGAGCTCGGCAGGTGTAACCCTCTTTCTAGTTCTTTAACCTTTAGTCACGAGGGACCATTTTACCAAATTTCTGTCTTGTCAGGGATCACTTTTTTTTTTTTTCAAAATCCTATGAAAGTGGAGGTCGATTTCTCGGCCACTGTGCGCCGTTTGCGTTGCGTTGACTCATCACGTCACGTCACTTGTTTATTACGATGTCTTCGTGGACCACTTGGAATGCCTCCAGGGACCACCAGTGATCCGCGGACCACTGGTTTAGTCTTATTGAATGCGATAGAGCGACGGCAAGTACTTATCCCAGACATACCATGCATGGGCGAGAGGAGACCATTGATCAAATGGAAAACATTTTGTAGTTTCTGATTACCTCATATCTTGTTATAGGAGCAGCAAGAAGGGTTAGTAGTAGAAGTGCCCGCCCTGCCGCCTTTGCCACCACTGCAGGAGATGAAGATGCGCAACCAGGAAGCCGACTGGTTCAACAATAAGACCAAAACTATACTTAAGGTGAGTTGCTCCAAATATCTTCATACTAGCTTTCCGCCCGCGGCTTCGCCCGCGTCGAATTTTGTCTGTCACAGAAAAACATTATCGCGCGCGTCCCTGTTTCATAAACCGGGATAAAACTATCCTATGTCCCTTCCCGGGACTCAAACTATCTCTATGCCAAATTTCATCGAAATCGGTTCAGTGGTTTAAACGTGAAAGTGAGACAGACAGACAGAGTTACTTTCGCATTTATAATATTAGTATAGATTGTCATAGTGTAGTGATCTTAGTATTAGGTAGGGTATTTGGTAATATAAATAGAAATATTTGTCTTTGAATAGGGTGTACAGAAGGTCGTAAATAACAAAATATGGTCACCTATCCAGCCATCAACAATAGCATGCAAATATAACGAAGAAATCTTAATGTTACTTATATTAATTGCTGATTGGCAATAAGTAATATAAGTAATTGGCACCAATAGTTTGTTGCTTCAACAGGCGAAAATTTTATAGTATGGTGCCGATTTTGAGATTTGGTGCTGGAGGAGAACTCTCAAAATATTTTGGAGGTTCAGCATTTCAAAATTGGTTCAAGCAAACCAATCATTCCAAACTTAATTATATCTCAACTCAGTATCATGATATTTGCGAACAGTTCATTGTCAAGTAAATAACAGCAAACTTACGTGTTTATTCTCTCAATATTTCATAATTTATCTTTCTTTTTCAGGATGATACGCCAATGCTCACAGACTCGGACGGCCCAGTGCTAGAACTAGGTGCGAGTGCATCTCCCGCTCAAAATAAGCAAAACAAAAAGAGTTTGCCGCACAAAAAGAGGATCTCTAGGAAATTGAAACGAAATAACGGGAATAGCACTCCACAGCAGCAGGTAATTGTTTGGTTTTCCATGTCTGAAAATTTTAATATTTTGAACTTTCATGGGATTTGACCTTCCCGACATTTCGACTCGGTTGCACGAGTCATGGTCACGGGCGGACTGAAGAGATGCGGCGGCGTCTGCTCGGGCGGAATTAATCATATATTTACCTTTTTAAAAGAGTTTTGTTGCCAAATCTGAAAAATTATTTTATGCCTTGTCCAAACATGAACCAAGAGTCATTGGAAGTGTTTTTTTTTTTCAGTTGGTAGTAATAAACTGCTCAGACGAAGTGCAGCAAGAGGAGATACTACCAGACAACTTCGTAGCTAGCGTTCAACATCAGCAGCATATTACGGAAACTCACCATATCACACATGAGGTCAGTACATTCAGTTTACGAAAAATATTCGCAAATCAATTTAACGTAACTTGACTTTTAAAAGTACACATTCAATATTATACCAAAAAGAAAGCCTCTTTCTATATTATGATTACTAAGGAAAGAATATCCCTATTAGATCTGTTCTGCTGCTCAAATACAACACAAAAATTCTCTCTCTCTCTCTCTCGGTGTTTACTAATGTGATAAGAGAAGTATTTTTACTTTTTAGTTTTGGATGTTGGTCCCATGAACTCCCATACAAAAGTTGCTTAATTTGAGTACTATAATAATCTCCTTTTGGATCTGACATGTTTTATGTATCACATTTTTATGTAATGTTAATTCCTTTTAAGTTTAAATCGAGTACCAAAACCAACCAACCAGGTATGTCACTGTTCAACATAACGCCAATTCTTCAAAACAGTCTCCCGAATGAGTGAGGAAGTAAGAAAGACAGGTTTTCAAACAGAAGACGATTGGTATTAAGACGGTTCAGACTTTCCTATTTTTTGTGGTTTTTATCCTGGATAAAATACAAATAAAGCTGAAGAAATATACACCCTGAATTTCAATACCTACAGCTTGGGGTACACCTAGCTAGTTTTCGACCTGTAATCTCACCAGGTGCGGCCGATCTTCATCTGCCAGATCTGCGGGGAGTTCTGCGGCGAGGACCAGCTGAAGTTCTACCACCACCTCAAGCAGCATTACGAGCCACACACCATCATCATCGAGAACCCCGTGCCGGATCTGGCTATTGATAAGGTATTTCGTTCGTTCGTTCTTTTCAGCCAAATGACGTCCACTGCTGGACAAAGGCCTCCTCCAAGGTTTTCCACTATGAACGGTCCTGCGCTTTCCGCATCCAGGCTCATCCCGCGACCTTCACCAGATCGTCGGTCCACCTAGTAGGAGGCCTGCCCACGCTACGTCTTCTAGCCCGTGATCGCCACTCGAGAACTTTTCTGCCCCAACGGCCATCGTCTCTACGAGCTATGTGCCCCGCCCACTGCCACTTGATTTTAGCAATTCTGCGAGCTATGTCGGTCATTTTGGTTCTCCTGCGGATCTCCTCATTTCTGATTCGATCACGCAGGGAAACTCCAAGCATGGCCCGCTCCATCGCCCTTTGGATGACCTTGAGCCTTCTTATGAGGCCCATAGTAAGCGACCACGTTTCAGATCCATATATCAACATAAGGTATTTATCACCATCAAATCATTTAGCATCCACGATTCTCTCTAAAGTTGAAAAGTCGTGACTGCTGAGAAGTAGCAGCACACTACCAGAGTAAATACAAATATGTAGGTCATCTTCATAGAAACGCACCGAGCGCGGTTTGTATGTGAGCGCGCCAATACGTGTCGGCGCAATACCCCGCTAATCCCCGTTAAATTTTGTCAGTGTATGCGCGCCGCATACATATTGGCGCGCTGACATAGAAACCGCGCTCGTTACGTTTCTATGAAGATAACCTACTCATTTTTATTTACTCTGACACTACTGCCATCTTATTTATCTAAAGGCAAATAAATGCGATTTAGCTCTCCCCAGTGTTTTTGTGGTTAGGGAGCTTGCTTTCCTTGTGTAAGTACATCATGGGACTTTCCCTGCCAAAATCGTGGGATCCACGCGTCAAAACCTGACGGTGTTCTCAAGAGTATGAGGTCGGAACTACAAGCTGGTATCCAGATGTTAAGAGTGCAAACGCACAAACACACACTACACAAACGTGTAGAACAACTTTTTACTTAATACATCATTTCATCTATAGGATGTCCACTACTAAACATAGGCCTCCCCCAATGATTTCCACAATGGCCGGTTGGTGGCGGCCTGCATCCAGCGCCTTCCCGCTACCTTCTTCTGTCATTCTAAACTTCTCAATTCATCATCATCATCATCATCTCAGCCATAGGACGTCCACTGCTGAACATAGGCCTCCCCCAATGCCGACGACATCATAAAGGTAGCAGAAACTTCTCAATTATTTCTGTTAAAATAGTAATATTAAATTATTTTTCAGATGACCAACACCTGCATTGTGGACAACGTAGCAGCATTACCAGATTCCATAATGGAGCTGTCCCAGTCACTAGAGAACACTGTCCCTAAGACGATGTACCAACCTATGGACAAGCACATCCTGTACACCTCGAGTGATAAGACGCTCAGCTACTCTAGTAATAAGCTGCAGTATACCATAGCCAATATGGATAAGGTGAGTTACTTATCACAACAATATTTGACTGTCTTATCCTAAAACAGGTGATCATCATTTTAATCATTTCAGCCATAGGACGTCCACTGCTGAACATCCTCCCCCAATGATTTCCACAAAGGCCGGTTTCTTTCCTGCTACCTTTATGAGGTTGTCGGTCCACCTTGTGGGTGGACATCCTACGCTAATCTTTCAGATACGTGGCCTCCACTCCAGAACCTGGCTGCCCTATCGGCCGTCAGTTCTGCGTATTATATGCCCATTGCCACTTCAACTTCAAACAGATGATAATTATTAGCATTTATTTTACAACTAGCTTTTGCCCGCGGCTTCACCCGCGTGAAATTTAATGTCACAGATCGGCATAAATTATAGCCTATATGTTAATCTGGGTTATAAACAATAATACTGTAAAGTTTCATCAAAATCCGTTCAGTAGTTTTTGCGTGAAAGAGTAACAAACATCCAGACATCCACACAAACTTTCGCCTTTATAATATTATTAGGATTTGGCTTAAATAACAGAATTTCTGCATCCAAAATATTGTGAAGCCCGACGCGTCGGTATTTTTTTTCTTCAAATATCATTGGTAACTATTGTGTAAACATTCATCCTTATCCCGCAGTATAGAGTTCAAACGTGATCAATCCACAATCTGATGATCTTATTCTAATGTGTTCAAATGTATAGGACCCCGCGGCGCCTGCAACAGAGGCTGAGAAGGTAGAAATGTATGAGCTGGAGAAACTGGAGGTGTACAGCTGTGTCAAGTGCAATAAGTCCTTCAGGAAGCTCAAGCAGTGTGAAGCGCATATCAAGGAAGTGCATAAGGTAGAATTACTTGTGTTATTTGAAGTTTTTAATCTTTTAGTATACATTTTAATGTTTTATGTTGAGCTAGAGATATCAAGCAATAATGTCTAATTTTGTCATACTAAATTTAAGTTTGTGATACTAAATCTGGGAATGGGTGTCGTTTTGACAGCTCGTAAAAAGACATTAATTGATTAGGGTGTATACTAGTTATGCCATTCACAGACTTGTCTCAAGATATTTGGAATTATGAAAAAAACCTTTTTGTCGTGTTTCTATGTAGGTACTTATCAACGAATCTTTCGCGTATTATTTGCGCTATCTTTGCAAAAAAGTTTGCGAAACGCGTATAGGAAATAGACCTTTCCCACACTAGTTTCTTTTGAGCGCAGCGTCGAACGCTGGCTCAGCGCCATTGTGACGTCAATGCTGCTGAACGCCAAATCTACACAGCGCTGGCATCTCGTACGCGCGGGCGCAAGCAAAACGACGAGGCTCGAAAGAAGCTATTGTCCGTACACATGTTTGCGACCTGCATTATCTCTGCTAGTTTCTCATACAAACGTTTCCTTCCCAGCTGGACGACATGAGCGAGTTCAGCGAGCCCGAAGACCTAATGGAAGGGATCCACGTGGCGGTGGACGAGGCGGGCGAGCCCTACGACCACTCGCTGCTGCCACACCTCACCGTCGAGAACGGGCACGTGCACCAGGACCACATCCGCCACTGGTCAGTTGGTGCACTAACATTTCAGATAGTAGCAGTCCATTGCTGGATCACACGCCTTCGAAGGAACGCCATAGAGCACGATCACCCACTTTTTTTATCCAGCCTGTTCAGACGAACATTGATCTCTGATCAGCAACAAAGAAGAACGGTCATTTGTGACCCAGGCCCGACAGAAACGAGACATACCTCAGTTTTTTTGTCATGTCTTAATTAGTTAAATTATATATTTTTTATATTCGAAATCTATGTATAACACTAAAATATTACCCTTTGTTTTTGTTCAGGCGTTATACAAAAACTAATACAAAATGCATATTTATCACCAAAATTGGTAAATGTATGTACCTAAATGTCTATTACAGCTGCTATAGAATGTATCTAGGTGACCTGGAGATACAGCTGGATTATACAGGGTGGAAACGAGAAGTTACAAAATCCAAAAATTCAATGTTACCAGATTCCATAAATCTGTAACCTATTATTGGTACCATTTGAAAGAGCTCGTGAAGTACTTTCAGAATCAGTAACTAGTTTTTCGATATCTTGTATAGTTTAGAAATAATCGAGGGAGATCACTTATCGTTCCATATGTATAACCACCCTGTATAATCCGGCTGTATCTCCAGGTCACCTAGATACATTCTATAGCAGCTGTAATAGACATTTAGGTACATACATTTACCAATTTTGGTGATAAATATGCATTTTGTATTAGTTTTTGTATAACGCCTGAACAAAAACAAATGGTAATATTTTGGTGTTATACATAGATTTCGAATATAAAAAATATATAATTTAACTAATTAAGACATGACAAAAAAACTGAGGTATGTCTCGTTTCTGTCGGGTCTGGGTTTTTTTTGTATGGGGCGTGACCGTTCTTCTTTGGCTAACATCATAGTGCAATCGTTGCACATTACACGGGCATTTATGCTGTAGGTTAGGGAACTAGGGAATTAGGATACCTAGGGACTTAGTTCTATCCTATAGTATAATAATTGTTCATGTGTAGCTAGCCGGTGCCTTTACAAGAGACCACACTTCCACGCACTTAAAAAACATTATTTTCACACTCTACATTAACATTAGTCGGCAGTTGCACACAGCCACTGTTAGTTATCTCATCGATCGATGTCGCTGATTCGTCGAGCACAACATCTAGTTCTGTGTTACGTTTGTGAAACTTGGTTTTCTTCTGAAAATCCGTTCGTAAATCCCTTGGTCACGAACGGCCGTATAGAATCTCGGGCAACGCATGGCGTCCTAACACATGCCACGCCCAATTTAAGGTACTTTTGTAGCCATTTTGCTTTGCGAAAGGGCGTGGTCAAATCGGGACCAATAATTTCATCATCATCATCATTTCAGCCATAGGACTTCCACTGCTGAACATAGGCCTCCCCTAATGCTTTCCACGTTGATCGATTGGTAGCAGCCTGCATCCAGCGCTTCCCTGCTACCTTTACGATGTCGTCAGTCCACCTTGTAGGTGGACGTCCCACGCTGCGTGTTCCGGTACGCGGCCTCCATTCCAGAACCTTGTTTCAACCAATAATTTGCTGCCCATTAATTCACGTATGGTTCAAGTCAAAATTAAAGACACTAGTTTTGTCCCAACTAATCAGCTGTCCATTCCAGGTACATGCGCAACGGCAGCCCGGCCAGCCCCCCCGGGGCGGGTGGGGCGCGCTGCGGCGCGGACGGCGCCTACTGTCCCGTGTGTCCCGCGCCGCCCGCGCGCGAGCCGCCGCCTGAGCCGCACCAGCTCAAAGGTTCGTATCTAAGTCTAAAGCCTGGTCCGTGAGCACATAGAATTTTGTCCAATGACCCCAAGCTACCCATCCTTATCGCTCGCGCGTAATTATGTTGCTGTCGCGCTCGCACACTCACTGCGGGCTCCCGTCGCACAGTCGCGACAGCAATATAATTACGCGCGAGCGATAAGGATGGGTAGCTTGGGGTCATTGGACAAAATTCTACGTGCTCACGAATCAGGCTTTACACGTAGCACAAGTGCGAGGGTGCGTGGAAGATACATGCGGAATGACAGCCTGGCCAGCCCTTCTGGCGGGGCGGGTGGGACGCGCTGCGGCGCGGATGGCGCCTACTGTCCCGTGTGTCCCGCGCCGCCCGCGCGCGAGCCGCCGCCCGAGCCGCACCAGCTCAAAGGTACGGCCGGGTTCCCATCCCACTATGCCGGACCGGCAGATCTCCCGGTCCGGTAAAATCGCCGGAAGGCCTAGCGGCGGTACAAATTGTATGAAGCTGTTCACATTATCCCGGATCCGGCTTTTTCGCCGAGCCCGGCATTTTTACCGAGCGTTTTGTCGCTACAAAATGCCGGCAAAATCACCGGACCGGAGTAATGTGAACGAGTTGCGGCCCACCCCGCCGCGCCCGTGCTCCCCGCACTTCATTCGGCTCGGATTTCGGATCCGGTGATCCGGTGTAATGTGAACACCCTTCAAAGGTAATAATAATAATAAATAACACCGGTCAACAAAAAAACAATTTTTTTTTTGCGCATGGATTTTACTTATTATATTCTGATTATATAAGCAAATTTATATAAAAAAGTGCGATTACAAATCGAAAATATTTGCTTTTTAAGAAGTTATAGCGATTTGAATTTTCCATCTTCATAGTAGAATGTCTCTAAAGATGCACGTCCCATTCTCATTGGGATATATTTATAAATAATTATGGGGGCTTATTCGCAAGAAAAAGGGGCACGCTTTCATCAAAATATAGTGAGATTTGAGAGACGACGTTACCAAGGCCAGTATACTGAAAGAATGATAGGGTTAGATTTTTATGCGAAAAATCTTCTATGGAACATGACAGGAAATTACAACTCTTCATTTTCAATAAATATTTGGACTCTATTTTAAATTTTCTCTTGTGAGAATTAATCTTAAATGGATGTTTGGTATGTTTTAATAATTAGAAAGAATGAAAGAAAGAAAGAAAAAAATATATTTGGCAACCAATTGAATCATCTCTATGTTCACGTTTCATACATTCATTGATATGAATTTTTCTATTTTTTACACATAAAAGCAAATTCAGAACAATTTTTTGTTGTTATTCTTATTTCTAGGTCATAAAGCAATAAAAATATAAGCTATGGATAACCCGTGCGCAAAAATGCTGTAGACAGTTGTAATAAATATCCTTGGACTCAAGTGAAATCACTCAATCAATCAAGTGAAGTCACTTGAAATCAAGTGGCAGTGGGCGGGGCACATAGCTCGAAGAGCTGATGGCCGCTGGGGCAGGAAAGTTCTTGAATGGCGACCACGAGCTGGAAGACGTAGCGTGGCAGGCCTCCCACTAGGTGGACCGACGATCTGGTGAAGGTCGCGGGAAGTACCTGGATGCAAGCGGCGCAGGACCGGTCTTTGTGGAAATCCTTGGGGCCTCCCCCAAGCCCCAAGTTTTGTAAGAAATTGCAACAAAATATTGCGCTATTTTTTTATTGCGCTGATTCTGCTCCACACTGATGTCTGGGGCCTTTAATGGATGGTATTGTTTGTTTACACATACAATGTCACTATTTTGATGCAATTTCTTACAAAACTTGCGCGCAAAAAGCAAATCTAGTATGTAAATCATCAAACTTCTAACGCTCGTAACTCAGTTCAGACTGAGTTTAGAGGTATACATGTCATAGTACGTTTGGTTTATTACACTACTCGCTTTCCGCCCGCGGCTTCGCCCGCGTGGAATTTTGTCAGTCACAGAAAAACTTTATCGCGCGCGTCCCTGTTCCAAAACCGGGATAAAAACTATCCTATGTTCTTTCCCGGGACTCAAACTATCTCTATGCCAAATTTCATCAAAATCGGTTGCGAGGTTTAAGCGGGAAAGCGTAACAGACAGACAGACAGACAGACAGAGTTACTTTCGCATTTATAATATTAGTTGGGATTTTGTAATCAAAAAACAAGGTTTGGTCGATGGCCGCGCGAAAAAAAAAAGACGCCCATTTCCGGCATTGTCTTTTGCGCGGGCGCATGCATTATGCATGTGACGCGTGGCGAGAGGCGGGCATCAATCGCTGGCCTGCATTTCCATGCTTGAATGGGCGGCCGCACGCGATGGCTTGCACTCGCTCCTTGCACCCGCAAGTTTTAGCGTAGCCTTTGCTATGTCGTGGGGTGAGGGGTGGTACATTATTATCATATTCATAATTTATTTATTAGGTACACCAACAAAGTCACATACATACGCAGTTATTCAAAAGAAAGACTCAAAAGTGCTGTTCCTCAGCCCACTTCCCTCCACTCACCACATTATTGTCACAATGACAGGAAGAATTTGACGGACGTTTTCCTGTTATAAGGCTTATAGGCTAGTAGAATTAGAGCCAGTAGAAATAATTCCTACAAAAGATTTTATTGCTTTAATGGCTTCATTGGTTGCCCATTAAGACTCTCCTAGGTTTTCGACTTCGACGGAGTTGTGCTTAAGTGGTGGGGGCCCCCGAAAGGGGCGCTCCGATTTAATTCATTTTTGTGTTTAATTCTACTGGCCTATAATCCACCCTATGTATAACAATTTTGCTATAAAAATATAGTTTCATGTAATGTCAACCTATTCACAGTAACTCACAATCCTTTCTTCCACCCACAGAGGAGGTCCTCCAAAGGATATTCGAGGCCGAAGTATCAAACCCAGAGCCATCATTCCCGGAGAACATTCTCCCGGACGCGCCGCCGCCGCCGCTGTCGCCGCCGCCAGCGCCGCCGCCAGACAAACTCGACGCCAAGAAGAAGCCGCAGAAGAAGTTTGAGTGCACGCAGTGCGGCCGCGTGTTCTTGCACAGGTACATACGAGATCTACAGGGTGGTATCCAACCCGGNCCGCCGCCACACAAACTCGACGCCAAGAAGAAGCCGCAGAAGAAGTTTGAGTGCACGCAGTGTGGCCGCGTGTTCTTGCACAGGTACATACGAGATCTACAGGGTGTTTTCCAACCCGGAGCCATCGTTTCCTGAGGACATCTTGTCAGACGCACCGCCGCCAGACAAACTCGACGCCAAGAAGAAGCCGCAGAAGAAGTTCGAGTGCACGCAGTGCGGACGAGTGTTCTTGCACAGGTACAAATTACAGCCTCCACAAAATTGTGGAAAACCTTGGGGGAGGCCTTTGTCCAGCAGTGGACGTCATTTGGCTGAAACGAACGAACGAACAAATTACATTTTTTTTTTTATAGAGGCCGCGACGCCACATCTTGTCCTGCGTAACGATGCCTTCCTTGGTTGGAACTCCGCACTTAAGGTAGCCTTTCGAACTAAGCGTCACAAACGCAGCGTCTTTAGCTTTGGTCTTAAAGGTAGCCTTTGGAAGCGAGTTAGTGACGCGGCGTTGGCGGCACAAGACCAAAGTCGGTGACGCTTAGTTCGAAAGGCTACCTTTATGCTTCAACCACACCAACGCGTGCAGATCGCAATCGCCGCGTCACTAACGCCGCGACAGTGTCGCTGCGTTCGAATGACGTTCCCTAGAATTTCATACATTTGCATAGAACATCTATTTGTCGCTCTGTCGCGGCGTCACAGTTGCGGCGCCACTGATGCTATAGACGCTCGCTTCGAAAGGCTACCTTTAGTCAAAGTCAAAGTCAAAATTTCTTTATTTGTTTAGACTAATAAATAGTTCTTACAAATCGTCATTTGCTCTTAAGACCGAAGCTAAACCTTTCGAAGCGAGTTAGTGACGCGGCGTTGGTGGCACAAAACCAAAGCTAAAGACGCTGCGTCTGTGACGCTTAGTTCGAAAGGCTACCTTTGGCGAGCCGAATGCCGAGGAAGGAACGCGGACGAATGTTTGAGACGAAATGCCGACAGTGATGTCCTGCGTTCCCGACTTTTATGGCTCACCAAGGGCAACGCCAGGTTTTTACTGGGTAGGCCCTGTCTTTCTAGCAGATAGAGCCCCATATAACTTACTAGCAGAGCTGCACCCGCGGCTGCTGGGTATAACAAATTTAAATATTTTCCTGACCATAAAAAAAATATTACATTTTAATGCCAGTCACAAACAATACTCCAAGATTTTGAGCATAAGACTAATGAAAAAAATGGTACTTGGCGTTAATCGTCAGGCTGTTTGCAGATTCTATTTCCATGGATAATGCTGAACTATTTGGTTTACAGAAACAGTCTGATGTACCACCTTCTATCGCACAGCGGCAAGCAGCAAGTATGCCGCGATTGCGGCAAGGGTTTCTATACCGCCGCTGCCTTGAAGGTAAATTAGATCTTAGGTTATTGTTTTATAAGTCACATTGCTGTCAGAAAGGTTTTTTCGCATACTTCTCTTGCTTACTATAGTCTGGTGCGTGAGCACGTAGAATTTTGTCCAATGACCCCAAGCTACCCATCCTTATCGCTCGCGCGTTGTACGAGCACGATCGTACATCCTGCTGCACCGTCAGCATCGACCGCCGGGCGACCCATGAACCCTCAGCGTGCACCGTCGGCACTCTACACCGACGGCACACTAACAAATACCTTTAAATGTGTACAAACAATAAACCATGTATAAATAGCAATAGTTAATACCAATAAAACANGCTGACGCACAAGCCGTGCATGCCATCATAGGAAAAAAAAAAAAAAAAAATCAGCTGTCTAAAGTCATGTTCTTACTCAACTCAATAGAAAATTTAATAATTTTGTCTCATTGTTTGCAAAAACTTTATTAGCTTCTATTTCATATGATTCTCGATGTAAGAAATAAGAAGACGAAATAAGACTGATCAAGAAATGGAACAGCACTGTTGTGGAAATTTTTAAGAAAATGCAAGCGATGTAAAATCATTTTTGTATTTATCTCTAATCAGTATTACTACGTAAATCGTATACATTTGCTTTGTTATCCGGTTAAGTGCGTGGTACATAAAAAAGAAGGTAATTATATGACTTTTTTGTTATCAATTTTTATTAAAGAAATAGCTTAATGAAAACAACTTAATTAAATTATAATTAGTAACATACGCGTTGAATAATGCGCAATGTGTACATACGAGTGGTAAACAGTGTCTTATTCCTTTGTGTTTCTTACGAAATTAAGTGAAAACTTTTGAATTTAGAGGTTATCTTATCACTGGTTCTAAACATGTAGGAACAGCAGCTGATCCCCCATTTTTAAAAAATATTATGCAGGGGTCACAAATTGCATATATTTTCCTCGAGTTGCGGTTTCGATCCTATTTAATGAAGTGTTTGATGTCAGTAAGCCATATTATGTAAGTTAGTTGTTCTTAATAAATAAAACGATGAACCCCGTGAGTTCTTGTGTCCAATATCCAAAGTTCAAACTGAGCTGTGTCAAATTGACGAAGTTTATTTTAAAATCCACAATAAGGAAGAGAAAATACAATGATTAAAGAGATGTGGTGCAACTAATAGAGATTCTACAAACAAGCTACCCAACGAAATTACAAAATTCGAGCTCCTAGAGTAAGACGAGCGAAACTCACGGGACGAATGTGCGTCCCAGACCAACCGGCTCGTCAACACACGCCCTAAAATAAACGAGTCTTCCAGTGACTTGGCCCACTTTTAGCTTGGTCTACGGGCCAAGTCGCTGATAGATTATCTTCCAGTGATCCCTCCTTCAATGTTTTCAACACCAAATCAACAAAAATCTACTCTAGAATCTTACAGGTGGATCCAGTCACTGAAAATAAAACTATTTAAAAGTTCAAACCAGTGTCTTGACCGTGGGCCAAGCTAAAAGTGGGCCAAGTCACTGGAACACTATGTAAATAATGTTTAAATACTTCTAGCCCAACAATGTCGTCGTATGACACGATAGTGGTAGGCATGGGAGCGGCCGGAACGACAGCCGCCTCCATCCTCGCTAAGGCAGGCAAGAGAGTGCTGGGATTGGAAGCCCAGAATCGAGTCGGGGGGCGAATCAATACCGTGCCGTTTGGAGACGGCGTTGTGGAGTTAGGAGCTGAATGGTGAGTTAATCAAATCGATTATTTATGCAAGTAGGCCTCAAAAGAGCACTTTTACACGTCCCCCAACCCTACCACTGCTTCGGGACAGCAATATGGGCCGGTGCTGAGAAGAAGATTGGTTCCTATACAGATGTTTTGTCGTTCAAACAAGAGCCAAGAGGATGAAAAGACTAAGGCTTTATTCAGACAGCGATAATCGCGCCGATGCTAGGAAGTTCTCGTTTTCATGAAACCATTACCGCACGATTGCCGCGTGCCTTGCCAATGACGTCCCAAGTAGCATTTTACTCCATTTAAGAGTTCACATTTAGTTCCAATGTGTACTTAAAGCATTAGTACAGTTCACTCGTGATGTATAAGCTGTATTATTGCAATTAATTACACCTATACCTGTCTAAGGGACTTATAGGAGTGTAGACTAGTGTAGAGTTATACTTTTATACGATTTTTGGTGTTATAATACTCTAACAACTATCCTTTAGTCAGCCGTCTGACTAAGAGCATTATAGGAGGGTAGAGATACGGCAACCGCTGTTTAACGGCCTACTTGTACGATGTTATAGAGCTAGCATTTTAATAGAACACACGTGGTCATTTATAAAGCCAAAGGCTGTTATGTTTACTTGTTTTAGACTGTTATACAGCTAGTAGCTGTAGTAGGACTTGTTTGTGTTAATAAAATAACCTTTTTTTACTATCTGTACAAAAGTGTTTCAATGGTTCGCATGTGCACTGTAGGCTGTTAAAAGGACTATATGTGTTGTCCATTAACATCAATAGCAGTTTATTTGTCCACAAGTACTACTCTTATTTGCTTTAAGCTGAAAATGAATGTGAATGTGATATTCTATTACACTTTTCCCCAAGCCTGTTTTTAGTTGTATTTATGGTGGTTCTGTACATGATGCAGAGGAAAATATTATGCCTGAACCTGAAAGTTCCCTTCAAAATATACAGATATCAGAGTGTGATGATTGCAGTTCTAGTGATAGTGAATACAATTTTGATTTAGACAATTATTTAACCTTTAGCAAAAAAATAAGAACATGGGCTATTGAAAATCGTATTCCTCATTCCGCTTTGAATAAATTGTCAGGCATAATAAACGAATTTAAACCGGGAACACTACCGTCTGATGCTTTAGGTATTCATACTTGACTATTAGTACCTGGGCTAGGCGATTTAACGGACATTAATAATTTTTATTGCGGATCTCTAAAATTTCAGTATTTGAAAGAATTAAAGATACACAATTGACCTGAACTAGGTACATCTTAAAGCTGTACATAAGTTCACATTAGAATAAATTTATAGACATTAGCGCTGTAGTGGTACAAATGTGGAACTTCATATAGATAACAGCATTCTAACAGAACACATGTGAACCTAATATACGCTCACCGCATTAAATTGGAGTTATAACAGTTCACATAGCCGTATTTCATTTCCACCATTTTGTTCTACATAACCTAAAATATTTACCAAATAAATCTCCAAAATTAATGCAGATTTATCACAAAATTCGCAGATAGAGCGATTGAGTTTTGGTTTCATGTTATAATTAATTACCGTAGTATAATTATAATGCCAATACAATATCAAAAACTGAAAATTGTAGATTTCCTCTCAGCCAGTTTTAAATATTTTAAAATGAATATCGCGTTTTTACAGAGGCGCGTAAATATTTTAGCTGTAAATATGTATACATTTCACGATAAAGTTGCATTCCCAATGGCATTAACATTATTAAGTATTTAAAACCCGTGTTATTATTTGCATAAATGATTATCCGCCCGAGTTGTTTCCCTCTTGGCACTCACGTACAAATACCAAACTAATATTAAAATGTGGAAATAATTTAGGACACACGTGAACTTTATGTAGCATTGGAGTACTTTTGTCGGACTTTATAACTTTGAAAGCTGTGCATTTAGCCACTTGTTACGCTTTATTACACTCACGTACGTTGTATGGTTCACACTGCGTCCCATATAGTGCCGTAAGTCAGCCTTAAGTCCGATGTTACTACTTAAACTGCTATTATAATGCTATTATACTGCTAATGTACAGCCATAGTGAACTTAAGGCTGTCTAATTTGTGCCCAAACTGGTTCTATAAAAGCATTATAGCAAGCTATACAGCTCGTATACAGCTGACATACACAGCTTGTGGAGTACATGTGAACGACTAGACATACTATATAGAACCCGAATGCTACTTGGGGTGAATCCCGCGTGTCTAAACCAGGCTTTTTTGTGCGATCTTCTGTGTGACTATTCCCACGCTTCATTCCTACCGCTGCAACTCAACAGTGTCGTCGTATGACACGATAGTGATAGGCATGGGGTGCCCTCCATCCTCGCTAAGGCAGGCAAGAGGGTGCTGGGATTGAAGGCCCAGAATCGGGTTGGGGGACGAATCAATACCGTGCCGTTTGGAGACGGCGTGGTCGAATTAGGAGCTGAATAGTAAGTCATATATTTACAGACAATTGTGTGCGGGACTATTCCCACATCTAGTTCCCACCGCTGCAGGATCTTGACTTGATCTTGACTGTCAATAACCCAACCAGTGAAGGTCAAGTTTAAATGGTTTATGGATTTCCATTGCTGAACATAGGTCTCCCCCAGTGATTTAAAAAATGGGCTAGTTGGGAAATGTTCCTTACGGTTATTTAGGTTGGTAGAACCGCAATTAGAACTTTTCCTTATTTATGATCAAGAAATCATGAGTACGATACCCACTTAGGCCCAGAACAGACGGTGAAACGCAACTGCAACGAAACTGCAACTGCTAGTTACTTTTGAGTTGCATCTAAGTTTCTGCCATAGCGTCCGTTGAAAGACCACACATGAAGCGACCAGTTTGAAAGTTTCAGTTTCATTCATCAAAATCATCAGAAAGTTACAGTTTCGTTGCAGTTGCGTTTCACCGTCTGTTCTGGGCCTTACAATGCAATTATATTATTATGCATCAATAAAGGCACATTCCGCAGGTATAGGTATCGCAATATTTTTCTATCATGGAAAAAACCTATGCATTTGATTGAGGAAAAAATGCATTGTGTTTAAAATTATGTGGGTAGTTAAACTGTAGATTTCTCAGCTCCTCTAGACAAGTGGCAAGACGTGATAGTCATTTCAAAATCCTTCACGAAGAACTCAAAAAGGCGGGCGCTGGATGCAGGCCGCTACCAACCGGGCGATATAGACATCATTGGGGGAGGCCTTTGTTCAGCAGTGGACGTCCTGTGGCTGAAATGATGATGATGATGATGATGATCCTAGGATTCCTAGCCTACTGAAGAAGCTATATTTCCATCAATTCTTGTTACCAGGATGCACGGCACCAAGCCAAACACAGTCTACGACTTGGCCGTCCAGAACAACGTGACCGTGCTACCTCAAGACATATCGATGGAGGTGTACATGTCTGATGGATCGTTAGCCAATAAGGAACTGGTGAATGAGCTGACTGAATTCTGTCTCCAAGTCGTGGATGAGCCGCCGCCGACTCCACAACCGCTGGGGCAGTATATCACTAAGAGGTATTTCATCATAAAAACTCATTTTATTTTTGTAGGTAGGCTTTTAAAAAGCACTTTTACATGTCCCATTTTATAACGAGCCTCTCAGGCTTCGAGTGAACCGCCAATCCCCTCTTCCAGTTGTTTTTATAGAAGTTGTCTCCTCGTGGCCCTGGTACAACAGGACCTCCGGCCCGCCGTAGCGGGTTACGGTATGCTCCATGCCGCTGCTCAGTCAGCTCTCCTAATCAGAGAAATACCGAGAGCGGCCTTCCAAAGAATGGACCCAGCCAGCCTCCACCTATGGGGTTTTTTTTAAGAAGTCCCCTGCATAGAGTTTTACACGTACCAGTATTAACCCTACCACTGCTTCAGGACGATGAATGGGCCAGTGCCACCCAGTAAACTACAGGCTTTTGTCGGCCGATAGTTTGGTCGTGCTGTTATTCAGCATGAGCTAGAGCATTATGGAAGAACGCACATTACACCGATTTGGTATTGGCTGATTGGCTCATACAAATTGCAAGCCGACCAAACTATCGGTCGATTGTTGCTAAAAGACAAGAAAGAGAGTGCTAAGTTAAATAGGCAGTTAGTAACAGATTCTTGAGCCCTTTCATCATCATCATAATTTCAGCCATAGGACGTCCAGTGTCCACTGCTGAACATAGGCCTCCCCCAATGCTTTCCATGTTGATCGATTGGTCTCTTTACATAACATTGTAAAAAAATATTGAATACTGTTCTATAAATAAGTACAAATAGATAATATTGATACTCAATGATAAAATGACGATTGATAATATGCATTTTGATAATTAACTATCAAGATAGTTCATCAAGCTTATTGGATTTGCTTTGATAAGCAGTTCTTGTAACTATGCCCAAGTATCTTTATAGATTCTACGTAAATACCTACAAATTCCTAGAACTGACCTTGATTATAAGAGGCTTAGATAATGAAATATCATCATGTGAATTAGTGGTCATACTCTGCAAGTTTTATTTTTGCGATCGAATTTTTTAAATGGAATCATGGTTTCTACTATGACATTTTAAAGGAAATCTTCATCGTCACTAGGCCACCTCCCTCTGAGACCTCAATAAGAATAAGAATAAGAATAAGAATAAGAATAAGAAGCGTTTATTTGCCAGAATACAGGTTATAAGTACAGTAATAGTAATAAGAAAAGAAAAACTTTATTCAGTTACATTATAAAAAACAAAAGTACCAGTACACAGTTCTTGAAAATAAACATACTATGCTGAAAAGGCGCCCGCTCAGCAAAAAACCGCGACATGACACAAACGTCATGTCGAGAAGCTGGTTTTCAGCGGTAACCGAAGGCAAAGGCTCTTTTTAAAAATAAAATAGGTACTTTTAACATTTGTTCTGCCTCGAGTAGGCTCACCAGTCACCACAACCGCCTCTGTGGTCTAGTGGTAAGACCACCTGCTTCAGACGCAGAGGTCCCGGGTTCGATTCCAAGTGGGGGCGGATTTTTCTGTTCGGTTTGGTTGGTGGTAGGGCTTGTTCTAAGTCCGCCTGGCTAGCTACCACCATCTTACCTAAGTCTGTCGCCATAACAACAATGTTAACAGCATTATTGTGTTCCGGCAGTTAGAGGTAAGATAGCCAGTTCCTTCGTGGTTGAGGATTCCGGGTGAAGCTCGCTTCCACCTTCGGCCTGATCGTCACTTACCATCAGGTGAGATACAGACCAAGAGCTTCCTCGTTGTGGATTAAAAAAAAAAAACAATAGTCGAGCGGCGGCGGGATGCAAACCCACGTTTCCGGCCGTGTCGGCCAATCCGACCCCTTCACCGTTCGGCTATCGTGGCTTCAAATCAGTAATACATATGATTTATAATGATACCGCAAACATTTCAGACTGATGGACTACATTAAGGACAAGCACCCAACATTACTAAAAGATCAAGGCTTCATAAACGAGTTCCTAGCGTTCATGGACCTCATGATAGACAACTATGAGGCCACAGACACGTGGAACGATATAACCACTGAGAGCAAGTACCGGGAGCTGGACGGACACCAGCATATGAGCTGGAACAAGAACGGGTATAAGACGCTGTTTGAGATCTTATTGGTGAGTTATTAAGGTCTATTTTTCAGAAAAACCTTCTTACACATGAGTAGCGTGGCTACTCCGAAAGGCTATGAACGTTTCGAGTCTATCTGTCGCTGTCGATCATGCGGGCATCTTGCTTTGCGTGAGAGAGATAGCAAAATTCGAAACTGAACGGGTACAAGAAGTTTGGTTGTTTGTCAGCGTTTCTCAACATTTTTTTAGATAAAAAGTTTTTTTAATTCAAAATCCGCAGCTCTTCTTATCACTCTCTTCAAATTTATCACTTTTCTTTCATATTTTGATTTAATATAACTAACTTTTTATCTTGAACCTTACCTTGAAAGTGATTGAATACGTCTCTTCAAGTGTTAAGGGCAATTAATAAACCTATGTTCGTTATTTGCCCCTCAGAATACATACAATAACGGGCCTGGCCTACCAACGCTCACAATCAAACTAAACACAGAGGTCTCTCAAATAGTTTGGCCACAGGACCCGTCGCAGAAAGTTATAGTCAAAAGCAAAGATGGCGCCGAGTACTCAGCTGATAATGTCATTGTGACAGTGTCAGTTGGGGTCTTGAAGGAAAGGTAAGAAGTATGCTGTAAAGTAGTATAAAAGTTATTTGATTATTATTGGCATTTGATATCTAGAAATACATTTTGGTTAGGACTTATATTTTTTATATCTATCATCTAGACACCTCGCAGACTACAGACTTTTTTCGGTCGATAGTTTGGTCGGGCTGTTAATCAGTATGAAAATATATTGAAGTACGCACATACAAATTAGAAGCCTACCTAACTATTCTGCCGACCAAAAGTATATAGGGTGGAAAACTTCGAATGCAGTTCTCTTTCCTTTAAAAAATAATGGAATGTTTTCTTTGAGTAAAATTTTCTATCTAAAGCATTATGAGCACTTTTCCTTTAAACGAAATTACTAAATTCCATCCTGTTGTATAGTCTGTGAGAGGTCTGAAAATTATTAATTATACTCTGTTGAACTCTTTTCTCCTTGTTAAACGTCAATTTAAGTAGAAAATAAGTTAAGAATAATTAGTGAAATGCAAAAAAGTAAGGCGATTAAATAATTAAGTTTATTTTTTACGGTTTCATTTACAACACAAGGAGAAAAGAGGAAACAAAACTTCTTCTGTCTTATGAAAAATCTCCCCCTTAATTTACTATACTAGACTGTTCTCCACATCCTCACTACCCTTTCAGACACTCCACTATATTCTCACCGCCCCTCCCCCAAAAAAAGGCAGACGCGATCTCCCATCTAACCATGGGGCTTCTAGGCAAGATCATACTGTTATTCCCTGCCCAGTGGTGGCCCAAAGACAAATTGTTCTATGGGTTCATGTGGAAACCAGAGGACAGAGCGAAGGTGACAGAGGAAACTTGGAGCTTAAGGCTCACAGCTGCTAGCAATCCCATGGGATGTAAGCACGCGTTGACAATGTGGACAAGTGGAGAAGTTGGTAGATTGGTCAGTAAAATTTTAATAAAGTTATTTTTGCATAGGCTTTGTAAAGCGCTTTTACAATGGGGCATGTTTGTTATGTTTATGTCTAAGGCAATTAGAAGATATTTTAGATTAGCCGAACTCGTATTATCTTCTTCTGGTTAATTTCGTTGCGGGTCCAATGACAGTTTAACTTTCCCCCGGGACAAACTTGACCTTCACTGGTTGGGTTATTGGCGGTCAAGCTGCAGATCCTGGCTACACAGAAGTTGCAGTGGTGGGAACTAGAATAGTCCCGTAGCCGAAAAAATTGTTAGAATTTCGTTAAAACTTTGTTAGATATGAGTTACAATTTTACTATGGGCGCTATTACTTATGTGATGTGAGCTTATATTTGGCACGTCATAATGTATGATATTTGTGATAAATTGGCATGGCGTATCATTATTGCGATTATCATAAACGCATCATGTCATGGGTCATACTCATTTTATATCTTCTATTGTTTGAGGCCAGAAAAACAGGTTTGAAACTACCCGACTCTTTTGAACTGTGAAATGCTGATTTAAAAAAGGAAGACGAAAAATTCTTGTATTAATGTGGCAGAAAAACTGATTTCGAAGCTATGTTACTTTTTCGCACTGTGAGGTGCTGATATAAGAAAGAATGGGACAGTTATATTTGTTAATTTTCTCCAGTCTTTCAAATCACAGATTGTCAAGTTGACAGTTCTGAGTTTTGGGGTTATATCTGACAATAGTTTGAGAATCAGTGATAAATGCCTATCCTTTCCCATCCTTTTTCATGCTCTTTGATTATTCTAAATATCCCACATATTTTGTCTCTCTTACTTAAAGTCCTCCTCTAAGAGCCCTTTCCCACGGTAATCGGTATTTTGCGGGAAAAAGGGATGTCTCTCTGGGAAAGAGCAACAAGATCCCTTAGAGCCCGTTTTTTGCAGGGTCCCGTTTAAATAGTAGTATACGTGTTTCAATAACATTTACACGAACATCCCGTTTTCAGTGTCCCGTAAAAAACCGATCCGTTCGTATTTGGACTCCGAATTCCAAAAACACGTGTGTTCTCACACGACTGTCCAGTCCTGTGGACACGGCATCCTGTTTTACTGGATGACCGTGGGAACGAGCCCTTCTAATGTCTATCCTTTCCCATCCTTTTCTTGCTCAACAACTTTTTAATATCACATATTTTTGTACCAACCGACCATTTTGGAAATCATTGGGGAGGCCTATGTTCAGCAGTGGACGTCCTGCGACTGAAAGAATGATGATATTTGTCTTTCTCACACATTTAAAAATGGGATATCACTTTCAGACACACAACATTGTTCACACCACGTCTCCCATCTGCCAAAGTTTCCACCATCAACTCAATATCGCTGGGTGTAGTAGACAAAATCATTTTATTGTTCCCTCATTCGTGGTGGCCGAAATCCAATAGTGCGTTTCACGCGTTCATATGGAGGACTGAAGATAAGAAGAAAATAAATGATTGGACCACGAAGATATTGGGCGCGAGCTCGCCCATGGGGTGTGATACGGCTCTGACGCTGTGGACTAATGGGGAAACCTCTAGATTGGTAAGTATGGGAATGAGATGGGAATAAGGTTGTTGCGTTACTAAGCAAGATTTTTAATGACATAAGAGTCAAATCAAAATCATTTATTGCATAATGTAGGTACATATAGGTCACATAAAAAATTATATTGTTCAGCTACATCATACCATATCGGCATGCAACAGAATCAATTTTTCGTGATTCAAGAAATTATACAAAAGAATTAAATTAAATGTCACAATAATAATTAACAATGTCAAATTTAGTAGATAAAATTTAATATTACATATAAGAGTCCCCGAAAACTACAAATTTTCGATTGTTTTATCGATTTCTAGATTGTTGGAGAAATCTTCTGCATTCTACTTATAACCCGATCGAGCTAAAGCCTAGTCCGTGAGCACGTAGTATTTTGTCCAATGACCCCAAGCTACCCATCCTTATCGCTCGCGGGTAATAATGTTGCTGTCGCGCATGCACACTCACTGCGGGCGCGCGTTGCACAGTCGCGACAGCAACATAATTACGCGCGAGCGATAAGGATGGGTAGCTTGGGGTCATTGGACAAAATTCTACGTGCTCACGGACCAGGCTTTAACTGCGCACCGCGTGACTCTCCCTCCCACTTAAATACCCGCTTTTGCCCAGTCTTTACCAGAGCGTCGATGTGACGTCACGGCAGCCGGGTGCGCAGTTAACTCGACTGGATTGTCGTTAGATTTCTAGTTGGACTGGTAGGGAAAGAAAGAAAGAAAAACATTTATTAGGTTCCAACTTAAAATAACTTAAGGGACTTGTTAAGTTGCATAATCACTACAGCCCTTAAGACAACAAACTTTGTCGGCCTATAGTTGAATCGAAAAATCAAGCTGTTTCTCAGTATGAACAAGTATGCAAGTGCGACGTGCGTACATTACTTACACCGGTTTTGTATCGGACGATTCTTCATACAAATTATAGTCGTCAGGGACATTCGTAGCATGCTAATAATAATACGGGGCCCTTTTTCCTTCAGTGATTTTATGCCTCTTACAACATTTGTCACTTCATTCTACTAACATTATCATTACCAAACATTCCATTATTTTTGCTGAACTTGGCTTTTCATGTTCGTGTTTTTTGTTTTAAATGTCTTAGCTTAGGAAATCGGTGCATAAAACTAGAGAAAAGATGCTATAGTAATTGTAAATAGAGACGAAGACGAAGCGTCTGACTCCTGTATTCACAAACATTTCTATGAGGTCTCACAGTGCGCGTGGACGCACAGGGTAACACGTACCAATCACAGAGCTCTATTCAACGCTGGTTGATTTGCTGCTTCACTTAAGCAAGCATCGTTTGTGAATACGGGCGTGAGTGTAGTAGATAAGTTTTACCAAAAATATGTGTTTTGAAGATACCCTACAGTTATCATCGTTTCAACCTAATGCCGTCCACTGCTGGACAAAGGCCTCTCCACGAATATTCATTCCACAACGACTGATCCTGCACTTCCCGCATCCTGGCACCTCCCGCGACCATCACCAGGTCGTCGGTCCAACTAGTGGGAGGCCTGCCCACACTCCGTCTTCCGGCTCGTGGTCGCCACTTGAGAACTTTTCTGCCTCATTTATAAAAAAAACTAATTTTATTCACAAAAACAGGCTTTTAAAAAGCAATTTGACACGTCCCAGTAATAACCCTACCACTGCTTCAGGACAATAAATGGGCCAGTGCTGAGAAGAAGCTGCGCAAGAAACTCCCTCACTATTGTCAGCCTCTTTTTCAAGGGTTTACAGTATTTAAAGTTATAAATATTGATGCGAGCTAGGTAGTAAAACATTGCAAACAATACAACAACAATTATTAAAGTAAAAAATTATAATTGCAGGTAGAAACACTCCCAGATGACGTGGTGAAGAGGAAAGCCATGGAACTTCTAAGACGGTTCATGGGAGCCAACGTCACCATTCCGGAGCCCATCAGTATGTTGAGGTAAGCATAAAATATTCAAATGAATTCAAATAAAAAAAAATGACCAGTATTTTGGCATTTATAAACGTCAAAGGTAATAAAAAGGTAGCCCTTAAGAGGCACTTTACATATCTCCTTATAATAATTTTATCAATCAGTAATTATATTGCTGTGGCGACTGTGCGACGGGCGCCCGCAGTGAGTGTGCGAGCGCGACAGCAACATAATTACGCGCGAGCGATAAGGATGGGTAGCTTGGGGTCATTGGACAAAATTCTACGTGCTCACAGACCAGACTATAGCTATATATTAACCTGCTGGGCTAGGATGCGCGCCGTGATAAAATCTTATCCAAGATTTTGGATGACAAATTTATGGGCTTATCGCGTAAAATCAATGAAATACCTCGATAAAAAAATTATCATGGCGCGCATCCTAGGCATACTGGCGAGTGAAGACAAAAATATTCTACCTTCTTGTTGATAGGGGGCCGTGAATATCACATGTTGAGAACCACTGGCATGAACAACTTTCGTCTTCGAATCGTTTGCGTATTCGATTCGATACTCAACCTTCGAATTAAACGACAACCTGAAAATTTTGATTCTCAAAATAAGTTTCGTGCTGCCATTTCTCATACTAAGATCACTTTACGGCACGTTCACAAGGGCGCTGTTGTAGTTTTCGTACTAAATCTTTTGATGGTGATTCGAATACGCAAACGATTCGAACTCGAAAGTTTTAAGTGCTAGACGTAGGTACAGTAGTAAAACAACCACCTGCTTTAAATGCAGAGGTCCCGGGTTCGATTCCCAGTTGGGGCAGATTTTTCTGTTCGGTTTGGTTGGTGGTAGGGCTTGTTCTAAGTCCGCCTGGCTAGCCATAACAACAGTGTTAAAAGGTAGGATAGCCATTTCCTCTGTGGTTGAGGATTCCGAGTGAAGCTAGCTTCCAACTTCGCCCTGATCGTCACTCAAGGTCACTCACCATCAGGTGAGATACAGGCCAAGAGCTTCCTCGTTGTGGATAAAAAAAAACTTTTTACACTGTCTGTTTGTCTTGTTTTCACGCCTAAACCACTGAACCGATTTTGATGAAAGGCATAGAGATAGTTTGAGTCCCAGGAAAGGACATAAAATAGTTTTTATCTCGGTTTTTGAAACAGGGACGCGCGCGATAAAGTTTTTCTGTGACCGACAAAATTCCACGCGGGTGAAGCCGCGGGCGGTTCAGCTAGTTGTATAATTCCTAGACACAAAATTTGCATGCTGATTTATTGTTAAGCAGAATAGTAGCACTTTACCTAAATTTTACACCTAAACTATTGTCTAGTCTAGTATAATATATTATCTATTCTTTGCAAATAAATACACTTTGATCGTCACTTACCATCAGGTGAGATACAGGCCAAGAGTTTCCTCGTTAAATAATCACGTCACTGTTTTCCAGATCGTCCTGGTATTCGAACCCGTACACCCGCGGCAGTTATACCTACGACAACCTCTCCTCTCCCTCCCACCCCACCGCGCGGGAAGACTTAGCCGCGCCCTTGAGCGACTCATCCGGAAGGCCGCGGGTTCTGTTCGCGGGAGAGGCGACAGAAACGAACCACTTCTCGACCGTACACGGCGCCGTTGATTCTGGGAGGAGGGAGGCGGCGAGACTGCTGCCGAGCAGTAAGATTTGATGTGCTGGGGTGTGTTATACCCCGGGGTGTTTTACCCCAGTTGGGTTGATTTTGTGTTACCCAGCTGGGGTGAAAATACCTTAGGTCGCCTATGCAAACCAACTGGGGTGTATTATACCCCGGGGTGTTTTGGACCCCAGTTGGGTTGATTTTATTGGTATCACATATAATCAACCCAACTGCTGGGGTAAAAAATACCTTAATGCTCGTTTTCACCATCAACCCCTAATTTTTAAGTGACCCCTATGTAAACAAAATTCCTGTTATTTGTTACCATAGGGGTCACTTAAAAATTAGGGGTCACTTAAAGACTTAGCCGCCCCCTTGAGCGACTCATCCGGAAGGCCGCGGGTTCTGTTCGCGGGAGAGGCGACAGAAACGAACCACTTCTCGACCGTACACGGGGCCGTTGGTTCTGGGAGGAGGGAGGCGGCGAGACTGCTGCCGAGCAGTAAGATTTGATTTGGGGTGGGTTATACCCCGGGGTGCCTTTACACCCCACCTAGATTGCTTAGTTACTGGTGCCGTTTAGTATGCGCGTCACGATCTATTATAGTTGATTTTATACGACAAATAAATGGACTCATGCCCGTTTTCACCATCAATCCCTAATTTTTAAGTGACCCCTATGGTAGGTAACACATAACAGGAATTTTGTTTTCATAGGGGTCACTTAAAAATTAGGGATTGTCATGCCCGTTTTCACCATCAATCCCTAATTTTTAAGTGACCCCTATGGTAGGTAACACATAACAGGAAATTTGTTTTCATAGGGGTCACTTAAAAATTGACTATTGAGAAAATCGAGATTTTAGACGACAAATAAATGGACTCATGCCCGTTTTCACCATCAATCCCTAATTTTTAAGTGACCCCTATGTAAACAAAATTCCTGTTATTTGTTACCATGGGGGTCACTTAAAGACTTAGCCGCCCCCTTGAGCGACTCATCCGGAAGGCCGCGGGTTCTGTTCGCGGGAGAGGCGACAGAAACGAACCACTTCTCGACCGTACACGGGGCCGTTGGTTCTGGGAGGAGGGAGGCGGCGAGACTGCTGCCGAGCAGTAAGATTTGATGTGCTGGGGTGGGTTATACCCCGGGGTGTTTTACCCCAGTTGGGTTGATTATGTGTGCTACCCAGCTGGGGTAAAAAGACCTCCCAGCTGGGGTAAAAAGACCTTAGGTCGCCTATGCAAACCAACCGGGGTATTGTTTACCCCGGGGTGCCTTTACACCCCACCTAGATTGCTTAGTTACTGGTGCCGTTTAGTCACGATCTATATAGTTGTTTTTAGACGACAAATAAATGGACTCATGCCCGTTTTCACCATCAATCCCTAATTTTTAAGTGACCCCTATGGTAGGTAACACATAACAGGAATTTTGTTTTCATAGGGGTCACTTAAAATTAGGGATTGTCGTGCCCGTTTTCACCATCAATCCCTAATTTTTAAGTGACCCCTATGGTAGGTAACACATAACAGGAATTTTGTTTTCATAGGGGTCACTTATTGATGGACCCCAGTTGGGTTGATTTTGTGCTACCCAGCTAGGGTAAAAATACCTTTTTAAGTGACCCCTATGGTAACACATAACAGGAATTTTGTTTTCATAGGGGTGACTTAAAAATTAGGGGTCACTTAAAGACTTAGCCGCCCCCTTGAGCGACTCATCCGGAAGGCCGCGGGTTCTGTTCGCGGGAGAGGCGACAGAAACGAACCACTTCTCGACCGTACACGGGGCCGTTGGTTCTGGGAGGAGGGAGGCGGCGAGACTGCTGCCGAGCAGTAAGATTTAATTTGGGGTGTGTTATACCCCGGGGTGTTTTGGACCCCAGTTGGGTTGATTTTGTGCTACCCAGCTGGGGTAAAAAGACCTTAGGTCGCCTATGCAAACCAATTGGGGTATTTATTAACCCCTGGGGTGCCTTTACACCCCACCTAGATTGCTTAGTTACTGGTGCCGTTTAGTATGCGCGTCACGATCTATTATGGTTGATTTTAGACGACAAATAAATGGACTCATTCACCATCAATCCCTACTTTTTAAGTGACCCCTATGGTAGGTAACACATAACAGGATTGTTTTCATAGGGGTCACTTATTGATGGACCCCAGTTGGGTTAATTTTGTGCTACCCAGCTGGGGTAAAAAATACCTTAATGCTCGTTTTCACCATCAATTCCTAATTTTTAAGTGACCCCCATGTAAACAAAATTCCTGTTATTTGTTACCATAGGGGTCACTTAAAAATTGACGATTGAGAAAATTGAGATTTTAGACGACGATTTTAGATTTTAAGTGACCCCTATGGTAGGTAACACATAACAGGAATTTTGTTTTCATAGGGGTCACTTAAAAATTAGGGATTGTCATGCCCGTTTTCACCATCAATCCCTAATTTTTAAGTGACCCCTATGGTAGGTAACACATAACAGGAATTTTGTTTTCATAGGGGTCACTTAAAAATTAGGGATTGTCATGCCCGTTTTCACCATCAATCCCTAATTTTAAGTGACCCCTAAATGGTAGGTAACACATGAATTTTTTTTTTTCATAGGGGTCACTTAAAAATTAGGGATTGTCATGCCCGTTTTCACCATCAATCCCTAATTTTTAAGTGACCCCTATGGTAGTTAGGTAACACATAACAGGAATTTTGATTTCATAGGGGTCACTTAAAAATTAGGGATTGATGGTGAAAACGAGCATGACAATCCCTAATTTTGAAGTGACCCCTATGTAAACGAAATTCCTGTTATTTGTTACCATAGGGGTCACTTAAAGACTTAGCCGCCCCCTTGAGCGACTCATCCGGAAGGCCGCGGGTTCTGTTCGCGGGAGAGGCGACAGAAACGAACCACTTCTCGACCGTACACGGGGCCGTTGGTTCTGGGAGGAGGGAGGCGGCGAGACTGCTGCCGAGCAGTAAGATTTGATTTTCTGGGGTGTGTTATACCCCGGGGTGCCTTTACACCCCACCTAGATAGCTTAGTTACTGGTGCCGTTTAGTATGCGCGTCACGATCTATTATAGTTGATTTTAGACGACAAATAAATGGACTCATTCACCATCAATCCCTAATTTTTAAGTGACCCCTATGGTAGGTAACACATAACAGGATTGTTTTCATAGGGGTCACTTATTGATGGACCCCAGTTGGGTTGATTTTGTGCTACCCAGCTAGGGTAAAAATACCTTTTTAAGTGACCCCTATGGTAACACATAACAGGAATTTTGTTTTCATAGGGGTCACTTAAAATTAGGGGTCACTTAAAGACTTAGCCGCCCCCTTGAGCGACTCATCCGGAAGACCGCGGGTTCTGTTCGCGGGAGAGGCGACAGAAACGAACCACTTCTCGACCGTACACGGGGCCGTTGATTCTGGGGAGAGGGAGGCGGCGAGACTGCTGCCGAGCAGTAAGATTTGATTTTCTGGGGTGTGTTATACCCCGGGGTGCCTTTACACCCCACCTAGATAGCTTAGTTACTGGTGCCGTTTAGTATGCGCGTCACGATCTATTATAGTTGATTTTAGACGACAAATAAATGGACTCATTCACCATCAATCCCTAAC